GGGCTCCCTGCGGGCCCTGCGTGCCGACCGCCGTGGCGTAGTCCCCGCCTCTCCCCGCTCCCCGCGCCTGTGTGGGCCGGGCCGGGAGGATGGCCGCGGAGATGGAGTCGTCGCTGGAGACCAGCTTCTCGTCCAGCTGCGTCGTGTCCGGGGCCTCCGGGCTCCTGCCGCCCGCGCGCTCACGCATCTTCAAGATCATCGTGATCGGAGACTCCAACGTGGGCAAGACGTGCCTGACCTACCGCTTCTGCGCCGGCCGCTTCCCAGACCGCACCGAGGCCACGATCGGCGTGGACTTCCGAGAACGGGCGGTGGAGATCGACGGGGAGCGCATCAAGGTGAGCCGACGGGGGCTGGGCTTGGCCGGATGTCCAGGGAATGTCCGATGGTGTGGGGGGGGGGGCTGTCCCGACGGAGGGGACAGTCGACTGGAGGGAGAACCCCCTCCCACCCCCGGCAGGACACCGCCGCGGGCTCCCTCTGGCCCTGAGCGGGGCATGGGCCTGGGCAACTTGTTAGTGTTCCCCCAACTTTCATGGACGTGAACTCTCCCTGGGACGCTGCAGATGGTGCAGATAAGCGGGGAGCGGAGCGCGGCCAAGGTCCACCCGGCAGAACGCCTCCAGTGAGTGTCCCCAGCGATCTTCCCTTCGCTCAGCGAAAGCCTGGTGCTTCCCGGGGAGCACCTTGCGTGGCTGTGCATTTCATTGCTGTGCTCGGAAAAAATGTTTCCCACCAAAGCATTTCCTGCATGATGAGTTCTAACCGGGTTGTCAAAAGCCTCTTCCTTTCCTTTTCTGTGCCGGTCCTGGGACTTGAACTCAGTACCTGAGCACGTCCTCTAGCTTTTTGGCTACCACTAGAGCCACACCTCCACTTCCAGTTTTTTGGTGGTTAGTTGGAGGTAAGAGTCTCACTGTGGGGGCTGACTTTGACCCGGACTCTCAGCTCTCAGCCTTCTGAGTAAGTGAACCACCAGCACAGATCCTCTACTAGTTAGTTCTTTCGTCCCTTAGTCTTACTGTTGGTTTCTCAGCGTGAACACTGACAGAAATAGCTGGGACAGTAGGTAACCAGAGCAGGGGTGCTGAGCACTTGGAGGTTGGAACGGGGGCCTTGCAGAAGGGAAATCTTAAGCTTCAAGTCTTAGAAGCTTCAGCTGCCTCCAGGTACCACTTCTTAAACTTGAGCCTGGCCTGCTGTTGATCTTTACCACCACCTGCTTGAGGGCAGGGATGGGTGAGAAAGGCCCTACCCTTAAGTCCTTCTGTCCCTATCACTGCCCGAGTACGTAGTAAAGTGCTTGCCTAACATTCATGAAGCCCTGGGTTCATTTCCTTGGTACCACATATACAGAAAAGGTGGGAAGTGGTGCTGTGGCTCATGTTGTAAAATACTAGCCTTGAGCACAAAGTGGCTCAGGGACCGTGCCCAGGCCCTGAGTTCAAGCCCCAAGACTGGCCAAAAAAAAAAAAATCTGTCCCATCTAGAGCCTTTCTTTGCTTGCCAATTTTATGCTTTAATTTTTCCATGGTTGAAGCTGCCTGTCCTTGTTCCCTGGGAGCACTGTATTAGGAAGTTAAGAGAGATTTGTAGAGTTAGAGGTGTAGCTCAGGGGTAGAGGGTATACCTTAGCATGTACGAGGCCCTAGGCTTGATCTCCAGCACCAAAAAATGGGGAGGGGGAGTTATATTTGTATACACTGCAGGGGTAAAGGTAGAATAAGAGCAGGCTGAACTTTTTTTTTTTGTCAGTCTTTTGAACTCAAGGCCTAGGCGCTGTCCCTGAGCTCTTTTAGTTCAAGGCCAGCGCTCTACCACTTTGAGCCAAAGTACCTCTTTCTGTTTTCTGGTGGTTAGTTTGAAATAAGAGTCTCACAGACTTTCCTGCCTGGGCTGGCTTTGAACTGGGATTCTCATGTCTCAGCCTCTTGAGTAGCTAGGATTACAAGCGTCTACCACCAGCACCTAGCAGGCTAAACGTTTTATAAACATAAAAATTAGGTTATGTCCAGAGGCTTGGGAGGGAGAAAGATAAAGGGGCCTCTGAGGTTTGAAAGTTTAGCCTGGGATGAGCAGGAGTTCTGGGGGGAAATGAACAGACTTTGGAGCGCCGCTGACCCAGGTTCACTTGTGAACTTGTGAAGGTATAAGGCAGTGCTGTGGTTTGCGCCTGTTCCCCATGTTCATGGGTTGGAACTTCATCCCTCACTTCCTATGTTAATGGGTGTGGGGGTAGGATCTTGGGAGTGATTGGATCTTGAGGTTTTGTCCTCACAGAAGGGTTAATTAACTTGTAGATTGATTTAACTCATCCTTGGATTAGTGGGTCACCATAACGTGGCCTTTCCTAGTGACGCCCTCTGCCATGGTAGGCTGCAGCAAGTGTCCATCCATCACATGCTGAGCAAAGCTGATTCCACGCCTCCAGAACTGTTAGCCAAACAAACCTCCATTGCTTCTAAGTCACTGTGTCTTAGGAGGTGTTCGGCTGTAGTAGCAGAACACACTGAGAACCTCAGTTTTGTCTGAGACTATCCAGGTTTCAAGCCAGAGACCCAGGGGTGGTTGGGCACCCTGACTTTCTCACACACGCAGAGGCTATTTGGTGTTCTGAAATTTTGGGAGTGTAGTCCCTTACCTGTCAGGTTGGTAGAATTAGATAGGAATGTATGTGTGTACTTGGTACCCTTAAAAAGTCTGTTTGCTTTTCCTGATGGCTGTAACGTTGTTTTTGTCCTCATCACTGTTGGTCTTGAGCTGTGTGCCCCAAGAACAAAGCAGACATAGAGGAGGGCTTGAGTTGAAAATGAAGTGGAGGAAACTCCCAGTACAGCGGGAATGGGAAGTGGACCACAGGTGAATCACGTGCAGTCTTAAGAGATTGTCATGTTGAAGGACAGCATACCACTGTCCAGTGTGCAAAGCCAGATGCGAGACTCTGGTGAGGGCTGGAGGGGTCAGTGACCACAGCTACAGGGTGGGGATCTGAGGACTCTGGGTGGAGTCCGCTGGCTCAGAAAAATAGAAAGCCAGCCCACGCCTGTAATCCTAGCTACTCAGGAGGCTGAGATCTGAGGATCATGGTTGGAAGACTAGCCCAGGCAGAAAAGTCCCTGTGAGACTCTTATCTCCAATTAACCACTCAAAAACTGGAAGTGGCACTATGGCTCAATTGGTAGAGTGCTACCCTTGAGCACAAAGAAGCCCAGGGATAGTGCCCAGGCCCTGAGTTCAAGCCTTACAACTGACCAAAAAAACAACACAACAACAATAACAACCACAACCCCAAACCAGAAAGCCTTTGTTCTGGGCTCCTTCCTTCTGTATTGGAGTCTCCATTGTCTTGAGACCCTGTCCTCCGCACGTTCTCCCCTGTCTTGTGCCTCTGGCTTGAGATTTTTGTGGTTGAAACTATAGAAATATTGTCAGACTTCTGGATTAGAAAATACAACTGTGGGGGGCTGGGAAGGTAGCTCAGTGGTAGAGCGCTTGCCTTGCATGCATGAGGTCCTGGGTTCGATTCCTCAGCACCACATAAGCAAAAAGAAAAAAGCCGGAAGTGGCGCTGTGGCTCAAGTGGTAGAGCACTAGCCTTGAGCTGAAGAGCTGAGAGTCAGCGCCTAGGCTCAGAGTTCAGGCCCCACGACTGACAAAAAAAAGGAAATTTAAAAGAATGGCGGTGGTGGCTCACACCTGTAATCCTAGCTACTTAAAGCCAGTGGGGGCGGGGAAGTCCAGGAGACTCTTATCTCCAATAAACCACTCAAAAACCTTATCTCCAATAAACCACTCAAAAACCGGAAGTGGTGTTGTGGCTCAAGCGGTAGAGCACTGCCTTGAGCAGAAGAGCACGGGGACAGCCCAGAGTTCAAGCCCCATGACCGACAAAAAGAAGAAATTCTAAACTTTGTCTTCCTTTTTTTTGGCAATACTTCGGTTTAATTCAGATCCTTGTGCTTTTTACTCAAGTGCTTTGCCACTTGAGCCATGCCCCCAGTCAGAAACCTTATTGTCTTTTTTTTTCTTGTCAGTCAGCCTCCTGAGTAGCTGGGATGACAGGCCTGAGCCATGGGCACCCGGCTTGTCTTTTCTTTTTGTGACTAGAAGTGATATGAAAGAGCTTGTTTCCACTGCCGCTAACTTGCCATACAGCTTGTGTACTGATGAACTGTTCCTGTCCTTTGGCATTCCTGTGGAAAGCTCAGAGCCTCATCTGAAAATGACATTTCTGACAGTTTTTTGTCTTAAAGCTGGAAAACTGTGCCTTACTAATAAAGTAATGTTCTAAGTCAGGCCTTGTAATACCAGCACTTAAGAGGTGGTGACAAGCCGAGCATGAGGCCTGGCCAGCTTGGACTGCATAGAAAGACCCTGTCTCAAAACAAAACCCCTTCCCTGAATACATGCTAGACATCTAGACATTATTGTGTCCGTACTTGTGAAACTAGAAATTCCGGAGACCCTGATTACAGTACTGTCTGTAGGACTAGTTAAAATTTCAGGACATGCTTCCTGAAATGTGAGATGTCAGTGCTTGCTAATCTATTTTTAAGTGCTATGTATGTATCACTGCAAGGAAAATCTGGTGTGCAGGAATTTGGAAATGGAATAGAATTATAAATTTGACTTTGAAATTGAATCTCCTGGCTTTGGTCCCTATGCTTTTTCCTTGCACATCCAGCGTGTTGCACACCCACCGGCATGCTCAATGGCTACCAGTCAGCTTCAGCTCAAACAGCTCCAAAGCTCACTTGTTTATATAGTGAGAAGTGAAGTTTTGCCATATTAAATCTAAGGTATTAATTAAGGGAAAGTAATAGCTCTCCCCCTTCTTGTATGGCCTCCCTGAAGCTCTATCTCTCCAGATCTTCAGATCAGACACATTTGACTAACTGAAACATAGAAAATCTAGGTGAAACTGCTTCTGGTCCTGTGTTACTGTGATTATGAGGTCATAATCACTCTCCTGAGGTGCAGATTCGTGGATAGAGCTACAGAGGCAGTGTGGAAGAGCAGCCCCAGTGTCCTGCCGGGGAGAAGTACTGCAGACCATGCAGGGATGCGTAAGTCGCTCCGTGTGTCATGGAATGACATTCTCAGTTTTCTGTTCACCTTCAGATCCAGCTATGGGACACGGCAGGACAGGAGCGCTTCCGGAAGAGCATGGTGCAGCATTACTACCGGAATGTGCATGCTGTGGTCTTCGTGTATGACATGACCAACATGGCCAGCTTCCACAGCCTACCCCTGTGGATCGAGGAGTGCAAACAACACCTGTTAGCCAGCGACATACCCCGGATCCTTGTCGGAAATAAATGTGACTTGGGAAGTGCCATTCAGGTGCCTACGGACTTGGCACAAAAGTTTGCTGATACCCACAGTATGCCTTTGTTTGAAACGTCTGCCAAAAACCCCAATGACAACGACCACGTGGAAGCGATATTTATGACGTTGGCACATAAGCTGAAGAGCCACAAGCCCCTCATGCTTAGCCAGCCCCCCGAGAATGGAGTTGTCTTGAAGCCCGAAGCAAAGCCGTCTGTGACGTGTTGGTGCTAGGTGAAGGTCTTACATGGTCTTGTCTGGTCTAAAAGACATTGGAAGGTGGGCACTGATAAGTCATAAGATTTCATCTTAAACAGGAGGACCTGGCACTTCGCTGTCTATCATCTGCTTACTTTTGTATTTTGTAGTAAGTTTGTCTTGACAAGTGGAAAGTGACGGGAGGCTGACTTGTGAGAGTGCGGAGGAGGAGGAGGCTGGAGTGAGCGAGGGGGAACTGCCAGTCACTAACTTCTGTCCGGGGGGTGGACTGACCAAAGACACTGCTTAATACACACTTAGCTATCTGTCAGCCAGATTGAGAGGAAGGGGCTTTGCATTTCACTGTGGTATCTAAACATAGATGCAAAGAATCTATGGTTGGGATTGGCAAATGTGGGTTTCTGGCAATCCTTTCTCTCCCCCTCCACTCTGTTTACTACGGATGCAGTGCTGGATTACGTCAGTTTTCGTGTAGTAGCTCCAAGGGCCCACCAACTCTACTTGTGACCCCCCTATGCACTTCTGTATTATCCACTTTTTTTTTGGTGGTGGTAGTATGGGACTTGAACTCAGGACCTCATGCTTGCTTAGCAGGTGCTCTAACACTTCAGCTAAACCCTTGCTCCTTTTTGCTTTACATTTTCAGTCTCTCAAATTTTTTGCCTGGGCTGGCCTCAGACCAAAGTTCTTTTACCTATGCTTCTCACATAGCTGAGTGCCACCATACCTGGATTCTGTTGTTAAGATGAGGGTCTCACTATCTTTGAGAAGACCTGGGTTGCCGTGTACTTCAACCATCAGCCTGCTACCCAAGTAGGTGAATTATAGGTATGAGCCTCTGTGCTCAGCTTCAGTTGTTATGATGTATATACATTTTATAATCAAACAAACTATTCCTGTATAAATTAGCTACTGAAAAAATACCTTGTATGTCCCTCAGTGATTCAAAGACTGAGGGTCACAGTTCAAAGACACCCTGGGCAGGGAAAGCCCATTAAACTCTTATCTACAGTTAACCAGCAAAAAGCGAGAACTGGAGCTGTGGCTCAAGTGGTAAAGTGCCAGCCTTGAGTGAAAAGCTGGAGAACACCCAGGCCCTGAGTTCAAGTCTCAATACTGGCACACACAAAAATTAGGCCCTAGACTTTGCACAAAAATTGTGTACATGGGATGTCAAGCCACACACTTTAGCTGAAGTTGACATGTTTTCTGGTGCTGGATATTTTTAGAGAAAATGAGGCTAAAAGATGCGTGTTTTCAATATTTTCAGGTTGTAGAAAAATGAACTGAACACATAATCTAATCTAGTTTTCATTTAATCAATAAGGTGGTCCTACCTGGATAATTTAGTTCTAAAACCAAGGTAATTCTATTAAATGAGCTAACTAAAAGTAATAGTTGCAAAAAAGTATGCAGTTTGAACTATTAGAGCTCAAATTTGCTTTGTGCTTAAAGATGATTAATTTTTCTTAAGTATGCTAGAATATAAAGATTAGAAATTGTTTTACTTTAAATTAATATGAATTTGTAACTATTTTTATAATACAGTGAGACAGCTTAGTAATTGATGGTGCCCTCGGCTAAAGAAGGGAGTCTATTCATTGCTTTTTAAAGCATTTTCTAAAATAAGGGAAAGTTTATAGACTCCAAGATCATCTATGAATTTTAGTACAGCTATGATTTTCTAAAAGCAGCAATTTAACTATTTCTTTGGGTTTGAACTTACTTATCCTTTACAGGTCTGTGAGAGGACTTATTTTTTCACTTTAGTATTTATTTAAAAATATTTGTATCTCATTTGCAACAATTTTCCACTTTACTATTTAGTATGTATGTTTTTAATTTTTAAAAGATACTTACCAGATGAGGGGGAATAAAGCTTTTAGATAGATTCTGGATGTTTATAAACCTTTAATCTACTGTTGAAATCACTTTCAAATTGGTGGTTATCTAACAGCTAATTAATTAGTTTTTAAAGTGTTAGTCACACATTTTGTAAATCTGTGAATTTAACTATGAGCTTTAATCAGATATGTTTCAGGAAAAAAAAAATCTAAATTTGCAACCCCAGAAGGAAAGTGTGAAGGCTAACAGAGCCAGTGGGTCCCAGACGCGTCCCCTCGGTCACGTGTCCTCAGGCAGCCCAAGCTAAACTGGAACCGTGCTCCTGTCCCGCTCCTATGAAGTAATAAATCATCTGTGCTACCAAGAAACACTGTTTGGTTTTCTTTGTTAATGGGTTGAATAGAAAAAAAAATCAATCCCTCCTTCCTGGTTCCCAGGTAACATATACGTGTTGAGAGTCCTTAAAACCCCAAATCTGAAACTAAAATTTCTGGATTTGGGATTAGGGATGCACAACCAGTAAAGTCTATGCAGATAGTGGGGCGGGGGGCGGGGGAGCAAAAAAGCAAGGTGCTGGTGGCTCACACCTAGCTATTCAGGCATCTGAGACCTGAGAATCTTGGTTCAAAGCCAGCCTGGGCAGGAAAGTCTGTGAGATTCTTACCTCCACCTAACCACCATAAAGCCAGAAGTGGAGCTGTCTCAAGTGGTAAAGTGCTAGCCTTGCACAAAAAGGCTCAGGGACCGTGCCTAGACCCTGAGGGCAAGAGCAGGCCTGGTACACGCACACACATGCACACACACACCAATCCCCAAGTCCAGTGCAGACTGTGAGTGTGGGTAGAGGGCATCTAGGCAAGGGGAGGGCAGTCTCCTGTTGGTGAGCGGAAGGCATCTGAGCACCTTTGAGGCCAGGGACTTGAGTTGGAGTGGCTCTTCAACTAAGGTAGAGGGGCCGAACACTGAAAGGAAGCTAGCAAGGTAGATTGTGTCTCAGCTTAGGTTTCAGCTCAGCGTAAGCCCGGTCTGTCTCCTTAGACTCCAACAGCTGGAGTGGAGCAGTGCGTTTCAACCCGGGTCCAGCTTAGCTTCTCTGCATATCTTGTCTGTCTTACCATTGTTCTGCTTCACTTTTTAGAAAACCAGCCACTGCCGTCTGCTTCTGAACTTTCAGATCTGCAGCCTTCCAGAGAGGCTAACATTGTACAGCTTGAGCCATAGCTCCACTTCCCATTTTTGAGTGGTTTATTGGAGATAAGAGTTTCATGGGGCCGGGCGCTGGTGGCTCACGCCTGTAATCCTAGCTACTCAGGAGGCTGAGATCTGAGGAT